CTCCTCTCTCACGAGGTCCCCTGCACCTCGAGCCCCACTCCTACCTGTGATAAGGTCTTAGCGGTAAGGGGCAGCCCCCGTCTCAAACCTACGCGGCGTCACCCAAAGGAATCTGTGTGTGCCACAGCTCCCTCGTGGTCAGGCCTCTGCCTTGCTCAGTACAGCGTGAACCTGTGTGCACATCCTGAGAATTGCTGCACTGTTCTCTTTGGCCATTGCAAAGTGTCTTGGTTACTTTCCCCTTGCTGGGATCCCCAACACCCACAATTTAAAGAGAGGTTTATTTTGGCTCAAGGTTTCAGTCCCTCTCCGCTGGCTCCAAGGCAGGACGTCATGTGGAGGGGCCTGTGATAGACAGCTGCTCACATCACGGGGAATTGGAAGCAGCGAGAGAAGGGAGGAGCCGGGAGGGATGGATCCTTCTAGGCCCCGCCCCCAGAGATCCGCCTCCAACCAGGCCCCGCCCACTAGCCTCGCTCAGCTCTGACCCAATCAGATCAAATCAACTTCAAAAGCCACCCCCACACAACATGTGCGTCTTTTGGGGACACTCTTTTTTGCGGGGGGGATACCGAGGGCCAAACTCTGGTCCTTGCTCTTGCAAGGCAGGCGGCAGAGCCACTGAGCTAAATCCCTGGCCCTGGGGACACTAGATCTAAAGCGGAACAGAAACTTCTGCCTGTACAGTATCTGCCTGACCCAAAGGTTACTTGTCTTTAATGTCACCGCAGACCAGAGAGGGAACCTTCTGCTTTAGATTATCAAGAGTGTGGAAATCCCTGGCTGAACTGGGCAGGAAGTCCAGTGTGTGTTGACAGCCCGGGGTGACGCCCTACTGCACCCCCGTCTTCCCCTGTCACGCTTCATCTTACCGGCCGCCTCTGCCTGCACCTCCCTCCTGCTCCTTCCCGTCCCATAAATGTTACAACAGGCTGAGCATCCCTAATATAAAAATTCAAAATAAAATCTGAAATGACCCAGAATTGGGAACTCTTTCAGGGCTAACGTGACTTCACAAGAGGGAAACACCACACCTGATCTCAGGGCCACAGTCAAGTCACTGGTACACTAAAAATGGTGCATAAAGTGTCACTCTTATAGCCAGGTGTGCTGGAACACATTATGATCCCAGCTCTTGGGAGGCCAAGGCAGGAAGACTGCTGCAAGTTTGAGACCAGCCTGAGCTACACAGAGAGTCCAAAGCCAGCCTGAACTACCTAGCAATGCCCTGTCTCGAAAAACCAAAAAATAGGGCTGGGGATTTAGCTCAGTGGTTCCTCTAGGATCAGAGTTCAATCCCCAGTACCAAAAATAAATAAATAAAATATAAAGACTTTCAATCCGTATATAAGATACACATGATGAGTCCCATCCCTAAGATAGCTCATCATGATTATGCAAATATTTCAAAATCTAAAAAGAAAAAGTCCAAAGCACTTCTGGTGCCAAGTATTTTGGACAAGATACTTATCCTGTGGTATAAACAAAACTCAGGACAAGAAGCTAGAAGTAAAAAAGGAAGCTTAAACTGATTGTGTCCCCAAATATACACTCATTCCCTTTCCTCTAATAACTGCAGACCTGAGGTCAAGGCTGTGGGTCCTCCTAGAACACCATATTGCCTATGAGTTTCCTAACTTTATTTGTATTTTTTATCATTTATTTATTTATTTTGGGCTTTAAAAAAAAAAACTCACTATGTTGCCCAGGCTGGCCTCAAACTCACAGCAATCCTCCTGCCTCAGCTTCCCAAGTATAGGGATTACAGACGTGCACCACCAGGCCCAATGAGTTTCCTAATTTGAAATACATGACCCATCTTCCCTGTTAGGACATCATTTGCCTGATTTTAATTCATGAGAATAGGAACTAAATTTTAAGTCTCATAATTTCAGGCTTTGCACACCAGGAAAACGTGAAAGTAGCAGGGTTTTTTGGTTTCTGTTGGGGGACTGGGGATTGAACCCAGGGTCTTTGTTCTGAGCTACATCCCCAGCCCTGTTTGTTTTGTTTTGTTTGTCTTGTTTTTTGAGACAAGATCTTGCTAAATCACTAGATTACCTAGGTTAGCTCGAACTTAAAATCCTCCTGCCTCAGCTTCCCAGAGTGCTGAGATTACAGGCATGTGCCACCGTGTCAGATACAGCAGGCTTGGTTTTTGTCACCCATTGGAAGAAACAGTTCATATTGGATTTAAGTGTCTCTCTTTACAGTGAGAAAAAATACAAGAAAAACATGAATGAAATGCTTTTTTCTGTTGCTGACACATATCGGTTAATAATTTTATAGTCTAGTCATTAATAAAATACAAATTGTATTTGAATTTAGTCTTTCACCTAAGTACATAAAACAGTGTGCTAGATTCCTCCTTTTCTTCCCCCTTGAAGAAGTATGTCGAATAATCATAAGGCTTTTTAAAAAGAAGCCCTGAACTGGCAGCATTTTGTAACCCCCATTGAAATAGTACATTTCACCATAATCACCAGTGGCCATTTAAACCATGCCACAAAAGGTGGATGGGGCCCTGAAGGACCTGGTCCCTAGTTAATGCCACACAGAGAAGTGAAAAGACTTAATGCCTCCTGATAGGATTCAGGTGGGAATATAATAGACTATCATCACCCAAGACTCTTGCCCCCCCCACCCAGTAAATGTAGGTCTGACCCAACCTATCAACCTAACTAGCAATTTTCAGGAAAAGTGGGGGATTCGTGCACACACGGAAACACACCAAGATGTAGTCAGCAGGCTCCAGAGCATGGTGAACACTTTCTTCAACAGACCACTGCTAGCAAAAAACAGAGAGAAAGAAACCCATTTTATAGGAGGTTTACTGAAGAGACTTTTTTTGATGTTCCTGCTTTGAGGTACAGGGGATCGAACCTAAGGCCCTGCTCATGCCACACAAGTGTTCCACCACTGGGTCCCCACCCCAGCCCAAAGTGTAGGTCTCCTTGGGATCCTGACTTGAACAAACCCAGTCCAAATAGAGCTTTACTGCTTTCTGTGCAAGGGCCAGCAATGACTGAGAAAAGAGAAGGAATGCTGGAATTAGAAAACCATGTTTTTGTAGCTACTATAAAAGACTGGATCGAGCAGACACCATCTGTGGATGCTAAATTGAGAAAAGTAGAATATTTACATGATCTTAAAGTTTTTTCTAGGAAAAGAAAGACTACTCTTGAATAGTCAAGTTTATCACCTAGCACAAGAAAAACTGAGAAGGCATTTCAGAGAGAAGATGGTTTGGAATGCCCCGCCCTGCCACTTGTCTGGGGTGTATTTATAGCCAGAAGCAGGAAGTGACAGAAGAAACAACCTGATTGGCTGCCTTGGGCATTTGCCTTATATTTACTGGTCCAATCATTTGGTAGCTTGACTGCTGTGATTGGCTGACATGCAGTTGCTTGGCTATGCCTAGGTCATGTTATCAACCTATTTACATAAAGTTAGGTTACATTTCACTACATACAGAGGACGCTTGGGGCCAAACTTCATTACTCAAGTAGAGGGACCAGTTTGGGCCAAATTTATACTTTAACACCTCCACACATGTGCTCTTGTTAGCTGCAGTGGGAAGGCAAAATCGTTTTATGTTGGAGCAATAAGACAATACCTTAACAAGGTTATCAAATTCACATCAACAGCGAGGGACAGGGATGGGACATCATGGGACATCATGCGCACTTCTTCTCAGGATGTGACGGCCTGAGGCAGAAACACCAGGCCAATTCAGAAGGAGGCACCTTCTCTTGGTGTGGGGGGAGGTGGCAAGTGTACCTGGGACCTCTCACTGAGCTGCGTGCTCAGCTCTTTTTTATTTTGAGACAAGGTCTGGCAAATTTGCTGTCTTGCCCAGCCTGCATTCAAATTTTCCATCCTCCTGCTTCAGCCGCACCTGAGATTCCAGGGACGTCCCATCCCCCCTCACGGGGCAGGGTCTCCATTCTTTAAGAAAGTCGGTGCCGCAAGAGACGGAGACCATGAGACCACTCCAGATCACACCATGATAGAGAGAATGGCTAGAGACGACCATCCCGTACCGAAGGGGGGCATTTGGGTCAGCAGGCGAAACCGGCGTGTGAATGGTGGATCAGACCCAAGAACTGTGTCTGCGTCGCGGTACCACCCGGAAGCTTTCCTGTGGCTGCGTACCTTTCTCTCCAGTGGTTTGGAAACAAAGGCGTGCGTGTATGTGTGTGTTCGCTCGCCTTTTCGTGCGTCACAGAGAGGGAGGAGCAGCAGCAAGAAGGCAGGAGGAGGGGAGGGGCCGTGGCCAGAAAAGGGCTCAGTGGAACCCTGTGTCATTTAGACAAAAGGCAGATAGCTCCTGTCCCATTGTAGTTTTGCAATTTTTCTGTACTTTTAAAACTATTGGCAAATAAAGCTCATGTGCTGGGTATTGAGCCTCACTCATGCTAAGCACCAATAAAATACTTTTTACGAAAACGTGAATGAGATGAGGAAAGTGTGGAAAATGGAACAGTGACTAGGCTGGAGGTGACAATAAAGAATTACTGTACTGCATTTGTTTTTAGCCAAAAGGCTAAGAGGCAAGACTTACGATTAATCTGTGTTCTTTGTTACTTTATTTATTTGTCTATTTATGTTTTAGATGGGGTCTCACTATGTAGTTCAGGCTGGCCTGAAACTCACAGTGATCCTCCTGCCTCAGCCTCCTGACTGTAAAAGAAGTCATGATGTTGGGGCGGCTCTGCAAGGGTGTTCGGTGTTGCTTGCACCCTCCACAAAGTTTGTACACAGAACTGAACCCAAGGGGCATCTGCTTGGGTTTGTTTTTTTTATTTTGGTTTTTGGAATGGGGATCAAACTCAAGCTTGCCAGGCAGGCGTGATGCCACTGAGCTAAACCCCAGCCCATGCTTGGGCTTTATTACTGGTGCTTCCCGTGTCTTCCGGGCTCTGCCTTGCACTGTTGCTGGTGTCTTCTCTGACACTGCTGTCTCCCCCTTTGTCATTTATCGTTTCCTTTCCTTCCAGGCAGCCACCTTTCCTCCACAAGCAGCGAACTCATAGAAACAGAATCCCCGATGGAAGGTTGGAAAAAGGAAGCCCCCGAGCACTCTCCCTCTGCTGTAGTTTAGAGAATTGTGCAGATGCCAGCTCTTTAAACATGCGTGTTGGAAAGTAAAACGGCTTCCTGGCCTACCTGTCTTCTCAGGAAAATGGTTGAGTCCTTGTCCTATGAAATAGCATTAAGGGCTTGATCATCTTGTTTGCTTTCCTGTTGTGTGATTCTTACTGCACCTGGATACAGACATTAACTCTGTAGCAGTGCTGTTTATTGCTTTATTTCCTTTTACCTTTTTTTTTTTTTTAACAAGATTTCCCTATGTTGCCCAGACTGACATAAAATTCTTCGATCCAAGTGACCCTCCTGCCTCAGCCTCCTTAGTAACTGGGCCCCAGGCGCACTACAAGCTCTCTCCCTCCTCTCTCTCGGTGGTACTGGGAATTGAATCTGCAGCACTTGCACTGAATTATATCCTTACATCCTCAACCCTTTTATGTTTTTTTATTTTGAGAGAAGGCCTTCCTAAGTTCCACAGTCTGGACTCAAATTTAACAACCCTCCTGCCTCAGCCTCCCAGAGTGATGGGGTTCCAGGCGTGCACCACCACACATAGCTAAGCTTGAACTCTTAAAGGGGTTTATATATTTACAAGATAAAATTAGTAGAGGAGGTTTTCCCTCCAAACCTTTGTCAATTTTCTGGATATGATCCTGCTGTCGGGGTGATAAATTTTAGCAACCAGCAAAGCCTCCAAAAATTTTGTTTTGTTTTGTTTTGTTGTTTTTCTAAGTCAAGAGCATTCCCCAGGCAGCTGATTTGTGGGTGTTTTTTCTTTTTATTGCAGAAGGTGTTTCTGACAACTCCCTTGATAATAGCTGGCTCCCTTACCCGAAAAAGTTTTTAATAAGTTTTGTTCAGGGAAAGAGATTGTAGCATCCAATTCTAGAACTGTGTTGTCGCTCATAAAATTATTCATTTTAAACATAGTTGCTTTAAGCCAAGAGGACAAGCTGACTCTATCATTAACTTTCCTTTATTTTTTAGTTATGCTTTTCAAAAATACTTATCTCTCATCCGCTGGCCATCACCACCCTGCTTCCTGTTTCTGTGAATCTGACCTCTTAGATACCCCATGAGTCACGGACCGTGTAGTATTTGGCCCTTGTTTGTTTGTTGTTGTTTGAGACAGGTCTTGCTATGTAGCTCGGGCTGGCCTCCAACTCATGGTGACCCTCCTGCCTCAGCCTGCTGGGGTCACAGGTGTGCGGCCCCACGCCCAGCTGATTTGCCTCTTCTACCTAGGAGTCGCTTGTCCCTGGTGTCTGTGTAGAACTTCACACACGTGTCGTCATTCTTGCCTGCCGGGAGTCGACTGGGCCCCCAGAAATCCTAGACTACGCCTCACCCTGTGGTCACTGGCGGGCAGAAGGGAACTGCAGTCAGCTTTGTCCATCCCAGTAGTTCTGGTGACAGCAAGAAAACACTGACTGAGAGTCCTAGTTCCCCAAACAGAAGGCCTCTGTCCACGATTAAATTCAGGAAGTTTCTGTCTCCTTCTTTCCTTTATTAGAGAACCCGCACGATATCATCCTTTTATGAGCTTCTCACTACCCCTAAGCATGGCCAGTGCCCTGTGGACTTGTCCCATAAAAGATCTGTTCTAGGCTCGCGGGAACGTGAGGCGACGGCCTGGTGACCAGTGTCGCTCTTTCCCCAGAGTCCTCTCAGCCCGTCTCCTCAGAAGCCAGCGAGGATCCCGAAGGTGATGTGAAAATCGAAGGTCAGTTGTCAAAAGCCCTGTCTACTCACATTGTAAGGTGTGGTTTTCATTTCTTTTGTTTGTTTGTTTTTGTTTGGTTGGTTTTGGTTTGGGAATTTGGGGGTGGTTTTTTTGGGGGGGCTTTTGGTTTGTTTTTGCTTTTTGAAGCAGGGTCTCACTATGTAGTTCAGGCTGTCCTTGAACTCATTATGTAGCCCTGGCTGGCCTGGAACTCACAGCGATCCTCCTGCCTCAGCCTCCCGAGTGCTGGCATTACAGGGGCACACCACCATTACCAGTTCTCTTTTTGAAGGATTATTGTTGGGGAAGAGCCTGAAATCAGTGTTTATCTGCATGGGTCATGTGTGTATATGTGTCGTGAACATGTTCTTGTGTGTGTGCATGTGTATACGGCACAGCAGCTGTGTGCCTGTCAGGAGCCAGGTGTAGGACGCTGTAGACAACACAACTAAGCTTAGATACATAGCACTGGCCCACAGTGGGACAAACCATGCTCTGTACAAGTGAGGAAAAAAGAAAGATGGGCTGGGCATGGTGGCCACGCCTAGAATCTCAGCACACTGGGAGGCTGAGGCAGGAGGATCACAAGTTCTAGCCCAGCCTGGGCAGCTTAACAGCTTAGCAGGACCCTACATCAAAATAAAAATTTTAAAAGCGCTGGAGACATAGCTCATTGTGAAGGCCCTGGGCTCCATCCCTAACCACTGTCCCCCGAAAGAGAGCATCATAGCAACAGCACTGGAATTCTGTGCTGTCCGTTTCCTCCCTGAATTTCCACTGCTTCCCTGAGCATCAGGCATGTGTTGGTTACCCCAGGGATACATCAGGATTCCTGAGGTCTGTGGGAACGGGCCCCTGAGGTGTGAGCCCTGACAGCCCTACAGAGTTGCTCCCTGTCCAGCAGTGATGCCCGGGACCCTGACCAGGGACCACATGGTTCCGGATGGATTTTCCATTAGTGCAGAGGATTCTGTGCCCGTTCATCTCCACCTGGAGTCGGCAGGGCCCAAGAAGCTTCACGAATAAGCAGGATATTGCACGCCCCACCTTCAAAGACATGCGGGCCCTGGGGGGAGGCTGAGGCAGGAGGATCACAAATTAGAGCCCAACCTGGGCAACTTAGCAATTAGTGAGACTTTGTCTCAAAATAAAAACAGGGAGGGAGGAGACTGGGCGTACAGCTCCGCGAGAAGGCCCTGGCTCCATCCCCAGTACCAGAAAAGAAAGGAAAAACTAGTCTGGGCTGCGGATCCAAGCGCCACTCCGATGTTTCTAAACTTTGATTTCTGTTTTCAGGAAACCCAGACCCATGCGGCGTCACGGCTTCTGCATCAGGTGTTGAAGAGCTGAACATTGTCCAGGTGGCCGTTCCAGGTAGGGAGGCTGGTATTTCACAGTTCTCGTTTTGTCTCAACCATTTCTCAGTACAGTAAGGCTCTTGGAGGGGTCGCTGTGTCTTACTTCACCCTGACAGATGAGGAAGGACAGTTCAGGGCTGAAGACGCCCTAGGCAGACCCGCAGCACAGGGCAAAGCTATCGTGGATTTGCTGCCGTCATGAAATAACCACACCCCTCTCCAGAGTCTAATAACACAGCAACTCCAGGCTGAAAGATGGAGAACGGGGAGACTTTTCTATGTGCTATTTTATGCCTCTTGGATTTCAAACCATGTTAATTATTCAAAATCAAGCAGAATTAAGTTTGGCTTGGTTTGGCTTGGTTGTTTGGTACCAGGACTAAACTCAGGACATTGCCCTTGCAAGACAGGTGTGTTGCCATTGAGCTAATCCCTGGCCCAGAATAAAGTTTTTAAGCATGAAAAATATTTCCTCTGATCCAAGTACCTTTGATGTCTTTTACTTATCCTAGAGCATTGGCTGAGGTTTCTGTTGTAGTGTTGAAAGTGGGGTGTGTACATAATGATAGGTCTGACCCCCATCTGAGCCCCAAAGCAGGGCGCCCACATTCCTGCCTGTGCTGCTGGTCACAGGCACCTGGCACAACAGAACCTCAGTGTTGCTATGTCAGCCATTGCCAGGGAGCCGTTGCTCCTCAGCTAGTCTCCGCTGATCTCGTGTTTCCCAACCCCACCCTGATTCATACAAACCCAGCTCAATAAACTTGCCTCCAACTCTCCCTTGGAGTTACCCCAAGAGGCCTCACTTTGCACCCCAAAATCAGGCTGGCTGTGCTCTTTTATTGGGTCACCGCCACTTACCAGGTTCACTGAGCTATATCTCCAGCCCTTTATGTATTTATTTTTTTAATTTGAGACAGGGTCTTAGCTAAGTCACCACCTTGCCCAGGCTGGGTTCAAGCTTGTGATTCTCCTGCCTCAGCCTCCCAATATGCTAGGATTGCTGGACTGTGCCACTACACCCGGCTGAATGCCATGTCTTGCATGATGGTGACAATACATTTCCCCAAATATACTGTGGGGTATGACTCTATTGTGTTCTCATGTGAAAAATTTCTCTGTTACCTATCACAGCTTCCGTTTGCCAGTTTCCAAAAGTATTCAATTATTGCTAAAAGTAAACGGACTGAAAAGCCAGGTAAAGTGCTGACTTTCCCCCTAGCCATTCTGGGAAAAATGAGTGACCTTGGCTTATTTCTTTATGTAATTATTTTTTAGATAATGAGAAGGAAAAATTATCAAGCATTGAAAAGATTAAACAGCTACGAGAACAAGTTAATGACCTTTTTAGTCGAAAATTTGGTAAGTCCATGTATTGTTACAGATCCCGAATTTATATGCTTGAAAAACTTCTTTTTAAAGGATACTTTATGGTACTTTGATAATTCCTATTCATTCATTTATTTATTTATTTATTGGCACCGGGGATCAAACTCAGGACCTTGTGCTTGCGAGGCAGGTGGCGGCACCACTGAGCTAAATCCCTAGCCCGATAATTCCTGTTTAATACATGGAGAGATGGAGTCTGCTCTGCTCCCCACACCAGCTTCTAAATCAGTGCCCTTACATCCACACATCACAGTCCTGGCAGAAGTAAAGTAATAGTAGCTGCTCATCGAGTGGGAATGACCTTGAAATCTTTTCTTTTTTCAGTCCTGGAGGTTAAAGCCAGGGCCTCATGCACACGAGGCAAGCACCCTGCCACTTTTAACATTGTACTTTAAGGCTGGGTCTTCCTAAGTTGCCTGGGCTGGCTTTGAACTTGCCTCCTGCCTCAGCAGGGTTGCAGGCCTGCGCCAACCCCACCTGGCCTAGAATCTTGACACCAGAGGTAAAGTACGGTTGGGGCAGAGTGAGTGGCAAACTGCACCTGGTCGCTGTTGTTCGCCCCGTCCAGGTGAAGCGATCGGTGTGGACTTCCCCGTGAAAGTGCCCTACAGGAAGATCACCTTCAACCCGGGCTGCGTGGTCATCGACGGGATGCCCCCCGGCGTGGTGTTCAAGGCACCCGGGTACCTGGAGATCAGCTCTATGCGCAGGATCCTGGATGCTGCAGAGTTTATCAAGTTCACTGTAATCAGGTAATGGGGGTCCCTGGCTTCGTCAGTGGAATGAATCTGGAAGGCAGAACTGACTGGAAGTGGGCAAGTTGCCACCCAGAGAATTTGCCCAGGAGGTGGCCTGGGTCCCTGCAGTTAAATTCTGAATTGCATCCATTTTCTTGTTTCTTGATGGGTCTGAAGAGCCTGCCTCAATTTTACCTCCCACCGCACCATGCATTGCATTAACACCCAGCCAAAGTGTGTGGGACAAGCAGGGTGCACATCTGTAATCCCAGCTCTCAGGGAGGCTGAGGCAGGAGGATCAAAAGTTCTAGCCCAGCCTGGGCAACTTAGCAATGTAGCAAGATCCTGCCTCAAAAAACTACAAAGAGCTGGGGATAGAGCTCAGTGCACAGCCCTGGGTGGGTTGGGGTGAGGGTGTGAATGGATCAGAAGGGAATGGACTGGAGGGGACCATGGGCCTTTCTGCATTCTGTGTCTCTCTGTCTGCAGGCCGCTCCCGGGGCTCGAGCTCAGTAACGGTGAGTGTTCTGTGCATCCCGTCCATGGCGCACGCGCGGTGCAGGGTCCCTGCAGACACTCACTGCGGGGTCCTGGCTTGTGGACCCTTGACCTTGAGCCTTCAAGCACAGCTGGGCTTTCCAATGGACTCTTTTTCCTTGTGCGTGATGAACTTCCTCCTAAACTCAGCTGGTTGCTAGCTGACTCTCTTTTAAGTTTTTTAACAGCTCCACGGAGACATCATTTACGTAGCATAAAATTGACTCGTGTCAGTGGATTCACTTTTCCCTCTTGTTTATTGTGCTCTTTTTTCTTTTCTTTTCTTCCTTTCTTGCTTGCTTTCCTTTCTTTCCTTTTTTTTTTCCTCCCTGTAATATGAATTGAATCCAGGGCCTTCACACTGAGCTACATCCCCAGCCCCTTTTTAAGCTTTTCTTTTTGAGACAGGGTCTTGTCAAGTCACTAAGTTGCTCAGGCTGGGCTCAGATCTTCCATCCTCCTGCCTCAGCTTCCCAGAGTGTTGGGATCACAAGCATACACCCAGCTTGTTTTTCTAATATTAGCGTTAGAGAAAAGTGACTCAGTGATTTCTAGTACTTCTTTTCGTGGTTGGGATGAGCCAGGGCCTCTCTTGCTGGGCAGGCGCTCACCACTGAGCTGCCTCAGCCTACACCCCTCCCAGGCACCCTCTAGGTAGTGCATCCCCATCCCCCAGTTCTGTGTCCTGCTTTCCCACCCCAGTTCTGTGTCCTGGAGCCTCACCTGCATTTCCTAAAGATGAAGGTTAGCATTTGTGACCCCTGCACACGCACTTGAACACACTGACAAGTGTGCATCCCTCGCAGTTCTGAGGCTAGAAGCTCGTACATCCTGTCGCTTCTGCACCCTTCTCCGTCTCTGTTATTTCTATGTTCTCCTGAGAATCACATGAGAAAGTGCGTGGTAAAATGCAAAGAAAGCTGGGCATGGTGTCGCCTGTACTTCCAGCACTCTGGGAGACTGAGACAGGAGGATCACAATACACAATCTGTCTGGGCAGCTCTGTGACTTAGCAAGACCCTGTCTCAAAATAAAAAGAAACTTAAAAAGGGGCTGGGGATGTAACTCAGTGTGAAAGCCCTGGGTTCAATCCCGAGCCCGGCAAAGAAAAAAAAACAATCTCTTAAGTTTTCTTTAGAGATCTGGATTCAGTCCCTAGCGACACACACACACACACGGATGTTCACTGTTAGGTAATTGGTGGCAACCTGGTAAGTGGCGGTGACCACGCTGGGCCCTACCCCCCAGGCAGCGGTCAACTGGAGCCACTGTCGGGGTCCCCTGTGCCGCCGCCACACCCTGCCCACCCCAGCCCCCTCACCGCTGTGCTTTCGCGGTTGCTTCTCTAATAGTAGCACTCAGACTCAGAATCCACGCTGGGCCCTACCCCCCAGGCAGCGGTCAGCTGGAGCCACTGTCGGGGTCCCCTGTGCCGCCGCCACACCCTGCCCACCCCAGCCCCTCACCGCTGTGCTTTCGCGGTTGCTTCTCTAATAGTAGCACTCAGAGCAACGTGAAATGGTTCGTGTTTCGTGTCTCTATCAAAAGTGGGCAAGCGCAAGATCGACCAGGAGGGCCGTGTGTTCCAGGAGAAGTGGGAGCGCGCGTACTTCTTCGTGGAGGTGCAGAACATCCCCACGTGCCTGATATGCAAGCAGAGCATGTCGGTGTCCAAGGAGTACAACCTGCGACGCCACTACCAGACCAACCACAGCAAACACTACGACCACTACACGGAGCAGACGCGGGACGCCAAGCTGGAGGAGCTCAAGAGCGGGCTCCACAGGTATCTCCTGGGCTCCTCGGACGCCGTGTGCACCGAGCCCAGACTCCTCGGCGCGAGTCCTCCGGAGAACGTGGTGGTGCAGCCCGTGGAAGACGCGGCTGGGAACCCGTGGGAGAAGCTCCGCGAGAAAATCAAGTCGTTTGTGGCCTACTCGATCGCCATCGATGAGATCGTAGACATAAACAACACCTCGCAGCTGGCCATCTTCATCCGGGGCGTCGACGAGAACTTTGACACGTCCGAAGAGCTCCTGGACACGGTGCCCATGACGGGCCTCAGGTCCGCCAACGAGATCTTCGCGCGCGTGGAGAAGAGTCTCAAGAAGTTCAACATCGACTGGTCCAAGCTGGTGAGCGTGGCGTCCACCGGCACCCCCGCCATGGTCGATGCCAATAACGGACTGGTCACGAAGCTCAAGTCCAAGGTGGCGGCGAGCTGCAGGGGCTCCAACCTGAAGTCCGTGTGCTGCATCATCCACCCCGAGTCCCTGTGCGCGCAGAGGCTGAAGATGGACCACGTCATGGACGTGGTGGTGAGCTCCGTGAACTGGATCTGCTCCCGGGGCCTGAACCGCGGCGAATTCACGACACTGCTGTACGAGCTCGACAGCCAGTACGGCAGCCTGCTGTACCACACCGGGGTCAAGTGGCTGAGCCGTGGGCTGGTGCTGAAGAGGTTCTTCGAGTCCTTGGAAGAGATCGACAACTTCCTGTCCTCCCGGGGGAAGCCCGTGCCTCAGCTGAGCTCCAGGGACTGGATCAGGGACTTGGCCTTCCTGGTGGACGTGACCACGCATCTCAACACGCTGAGCGTCTCCCTGCAGGGGCACTCGCAGATAGTGACGCAGATGTACGACTTAATCCGGGCCTTCGTGGCCAAGCTGTGCCTCTGGGAGACGCACCTGGCCAGGAACAACCTGGCCCACTTCCCCACGCTGCAGTCGGTGTCCCGGCACGAAAGCGATGGGCTGAACTACATCCCGCGGCTTGTGGAGCTCAAGAGCGAGTTCCAGAGGCGGCTGTCCGACTTCAAGCTGTACGAGGCTGAGCTCACGCTGTTCAGCTCGCCCTTCGCCACCAAGATCGACAGCGTGCGGGAGGAGCTGCAGATGGAGGTGATCGACCTGCAGTGCAACACGGTGCTGCGGGCCAAGTACGACAAGGTGGGCGTCCCCGAGTTCTACAAGTACCTGTGGAGCAGCTACCCCAGGTACCGGCGGCACTGCGCCCAGATCCTGTCCATGTTCGGCAGCACCTACATCTGCGAGCAGCTCTTCTCCATCCTGAAACTGAGCAAGACCAAGGCCAGCTCGCAGCTGCAGGCCCCGCAGTGGGACTCCGTGCTGCACATGGCCACATAGGACGGGTCCACAGCGCGGATCCGCCGGCCTGGGGCCGCCAGATGAGGGCGATGGCTTACACAGACATCGGGGTCCCCCTTCCCCACTTTGAGTTGGAAGCAGAGTTTGTAGTATTGCACTGTTTGTATGATATTCTGTGCTTCGCTGTGACTCAGTAAAACCCACGAAAGCTGCGTGGCACTCTTGTCATTGTCTGGCATCTGCCACCTCCTCCCTCCCCGGTGGGCACTGTGGGTGCATCTCGATCAGCCAATCAGCAGAGGAATGGAGGAGGAGAGGTGTGTGTTTGCTGCAGGTACCTGTACAGACACACGTCTGTCCCCATTTCGTGCCTCCCCACAGGGTCCAACGCAGTTCCAAATTTGAGGAGACTCGTTGGACATGTGTTCACATACTGTAGAAGTCTGGGGTGCCCCCACCTCAGTACTGAGGATTGAACCTACAATGTTCACACTAAACTGCAGCCCCAGCAGTTTCTTAATTTTTTTTTTTTTTTTTTTGAGACAGAATCTCACTAAACGGCTGAGTTGCCCAAATTGGGCTCCAACTTGCAGTCCTCCTGCCTCAGCCTCCCAGAGTGCTGGGATGATGGGCGTGCACCACCACACCTGGTTGGTCTGTGTTCTTGATGTGTAGCATCCCTGGGAATTGGTGACCCCGAGTTGTGAACCCTTTCCCAGTGCGGAGGAATTCCTCCGCCAAAGGCGGAGCCGGGTTGAGCCCCTGACCTGAGAGCTACAGAGTAAGGACCGGTACGACAAAGGCAGGGAGAGGCCACTGCCACCTGCTCACGGTGCCCAGCCCCAGCTGGAAGCCCAGTCTCAGACTGGAAAAACCCCAGGCACTTCCTGTCCTGGTCGATTGGCTGCAGGTGCATCTGCAACCTCAGCCGCCACAGCCCCAGGGAGGGACCCAGAAGGCCCTGGGGTGAGCTAGGGCCAGGGGTGGGCGGGTCCTGAGGAACCCGAGCAGATGTGGAACGGGTTGTCGGGGCCTGTGGTGGGAAGAGAGCAGCCCGCTCACAGACAGGCCGCTGAGGCTCGGTGTGGCCGACTTGCCCGAGGTCACACTGGTAGGAACCATCAGGATTCACACCCAGAGGCGGGAATTCCACGGTCCCTTACTCACAGCAGCAGCTGTGCCTGCGGTGGACACAGACCCAACAGGGGCTTTCCGCTGAGTGCGCCAGTGTCACAAGCGTGGCTCCCATCCCGGGCAGGGCCTTTCTGCTTTGAACTCCCAAGGCCCGGACTCCCTCTGTCCTGGGTGTGCGTTGGGACCAGGGTGGTTGTTGTCCAGCACTGTCACTGCGGGGCGGGTGGAATGAGTAGGCGTGGTTTTCAGCGTTCCCCACAGTCGGTGTCTGCAGATGTGGGGCGGTGCTGTGCTGGGGCGGGTCTGCTCGGCTCTGCCCTTTCCTGTCCTACCCCAGGAGGGGCAGAGGACAGAGCTGGCCACGCTTCCGAGGCAGACTGGGGGTCCTTGCTGAGCCCCCGATGCCAGGCTACCTTCCCTGTGCGAGCGCCCCTAGGCACTAGCACCCTGGAGCAGCCCCAGCACGCGTGCCCCGCCCACAGACCCTGAGCTGGGCGCGGGGTAACCTGGGAACGCAGCCAGGCTCCGCCTCCCGGCCCCCGCCCCCTTCCTGCCCTATTAAGGTGAGCAAATCACCTACGTTTTCTGAGCTTTGGTTTCCTTGCCTATCAAATCCCCACCCGCCAATATTGCTCCCAGAACTAGAGACGCCGAACTGAGTCCAACCTGGAGGAAATGGGTGGCTGGCGGCAGCAGCTCCAACAGAGCCGGCACCTGTGGTCTGGTCCCTCCCGGGTCCTGGGGACAGGGGCCTTTGGGCCTCTCTTCCTAGCCACCCAGGAGAGGCTGACGCTGACTCAAGGCAGCTTCCAGGGGGCCGGAAATAGGGAGAAATCACGGGGGGGGGGCTTTGCTCAGGGTTTCAGTTTAGGGGGGAAATGTTTAAAATGATGAAAGTAAGTAGCTTATACTGCGTGTAATTACAAGGTTTTAGGCGCCACTGAACAAGCAGGGTTTGTTCATTCCCCACAGCTCTGTGTGGTAGCGGTTGATGCCGGACTTTCCCACCATCGAGAAGGCCCTGCGAAGTTCCCTGACGCGAAGGGCTCTCCCAACCCTCTGACGGTCAGCATTCTCTCCAGACGCGTCTGTCCCCGTGATTTTGTCTCATCTCTAAGGGGACTGGCCTTGTCCACCTCACAGCCATTGTCCGAGCAGGGGAGCCGCTCTTCATGCCACTTGTGGCGGCCTTCACAAGCTGTGACCTCTGCAGTTCCGCTCTGCACTGTGGCATCTTTGCCTTTGGGGACAGAGCCCCCAGAAAGGACTCAGGCCACACGAAGACCAGCAGCAGTGCTGGGGTCCGTCCATAAATGTGGCTTTCTGTCACAGCCTCCTAGGTGGGTAGGAACAGTGGAGCGGCGCAGACGCTCCATACCTGCGAGTCTTTGCTTTCCTTCTGGGCTGCGTGGCCCCACCCTGGACGTAGCCGGTCTCCTACTGCGCTTGCGCTTATCCACAGTGGGGGGCCCGAGCTCAAGCAGGCAGCTCTGTCCAGCCAAAAGGTCAGCGAAGACCTGGTGTGTAAGCGAGGACCTCTGCTGCTGCCTTTTGCGCCCAGCACCCAGCGGAGTTCACTGGCCCCTGTCATTCTAGAAATATCCCTAGGGGGGGAAAAAAGCCGGGCGTGGTGGCGCTCACCTGTAATCCCAGCACTCGGGAGGCTGAGGCGGGAGGAGCACTGTTAAATTCAAGGCCAGCCTAGGCTACATAGTGAATTCCAGGTCAGTCTCAACGACATAGTGAGACCCTGTCTCAAAAAACAAAACAAAAAAATATATATCCCTAGGACCAGGATCGGTGGCACATGCTTAAAATCCAGCACTCTGGGAGGCTGAGGCAGGAGGATCATAGGTTCAAGCCCAGCCTGGACAATTTAGATTCTGTCTCAAATTATTTTAAAAAGAGCTGAGAATGTAACACAGTGTGAAGGCTCTAGGTTCAATTCCCAGATGGTGGAGGTGGGGTCCCTGGGACAGAGCCCAGCCCACCCCGCATCGCTCAGGGCGCGGTTCACCCCAAGCAATGTTTATTAAGGATGTGGATGGTCTCGTGGGCTGACAGCTCCAGGGCACCAACTGCAGGCCCTACACGCATATATACAAGGATGGGGCCAGGGCGACGCCATCTGGCCTCAGACGGAGATGGAGGACGCCAGCTTTCGCTTAGTGCTCTCGCTGCAGCGGTGCAGGATGAGGTCGGCGCTGGGTCTCGGGGGCACCGCTGGCTGTGGCTTCCCACGCTGGCTCTGCGGAATCTCTGAACAGGACCACGAGGTGGGTCAGAGGCCCCGCCCATCGCACCCTCTGGCCTCGCCTTTCGGTCCTTTCTCACCCTGACTACTCTGTAGGAATGACCACCCCGTCCCCCGTGCCCTCTGGCCACGCCTCTCAGTATTGGTACCGCCCCCCTACCTCTGGGATTCCCTCCGCCCTCTAGTCCACGTCGGGTTTTTCCTTACATGACTCCGCCCCATTGCCCAGGCCCCGCCCAATATCGGCCCAAGGTCCCACTTTGCTCCCATGACCCCGCCATCTAGTGCTCGCCCCGCCCCCGAGCCTCTGCCACGCCTCCCCTGCGCTCACTTTTCGGTGAGGGCGCCTGAGCGCGCCGCTGCTGCAGGAAACGCACGCTGTTGCGGCGATAGGCGTCCTGGGTGAGGCGCTTCCGCGACCGTTGGTGGATGCTGTGCGCGTTGCGGATGGTCGACCTAGGCCAGAAGGATGCCCGCGTCATCAGGGCCCTGGCACCTCCCAGCGTCCGCACCCGGCCCCCGCCTGT